GTTCGGCGACTGACTGTCGCCTCGAGCCCAAGCTCATTATCACAACTCTCGAACAATTACAATCGGATTGAATAACTACAATTGTTCAATTACAGCTATAGTAGACTCTAGGTTACAATGTTGCGGGATTATCCAAAATTCCAAAGGCTCCGGTGTTCTTTCATCTCCGACATATACATAGGATTCATTTGTTCTAATGAAGGTAGATGTGTCATAGAAACGTCTTTACGCTTTTAATACTTCTTCGGAAAATTAGAAAGGTGTCTCAATTCGATGTGTAGTAACTTTTTCTTTTGTGTTTACCGGTTTCTTCGCAACCGGGTTCTTGACGAACCGGAATTTGTATCTCGTAGGACATGTTCTAAAATATCCCGTTATAACATTTTTCTATATTATTCTTTCTTTTTTCTTTTTGCGATAACCCAGTCTATATGTATATTCATCGATTGAGTTGAGCTATCTGAAAGAAATCTTTCTTGCAGGTATTTCCTCGAATGGTTTGATCTCGGATTTATTTGATTTTGCAAATGAATTTCTCGTTACCTTTGCATTTCGACAAGTGCTCTTTCGTCATGTAGTTTATTGCTCAATGTCTCCATTGTACTTTGTGGCTTGAAATGTTACTACTGCGGGAGATATCGGATGTAGCCATCGGTATCTTTGAATCTGCTTCTAATGGATTCGTTGTTGAATTTTAAGAGTATCGAATCCGGCAATTCCCTCTCTTCCAGCTGATCTGTTTAAAGTGCTGGCTGTGAAAATGTCTTTAAAATTTCCATTGCATCCATTAAGCTATCAAAAATTGCTGTTTCGTCACAATAGTCACAGACTCAGAAACAGTAGTAGGATAGACAAAACATCCTGAATGCCACAGCCATCGAAACAATAACCAGATAGTAACAGGATAGCCGCGTATGATATACACCGGACGATACCCCCGCCCCCCCAGGGGTAACAAACCTTAGTATTAGAACCTTCCTAAATCAACATCTTTTTTGTTATAACACTCTGAATCATTACTCTGTTGGATTCGTACAATAAATTTTACTATTACGTCTAAAATCCAAATTTTTACCTTACTTGTGAAACGTTCGAACTACGACACGAGGGGATCACCGGTGATCTGTCAATTTCGTGAATTCTTGTGTCTCCTACGTGACACAATATAACTAATGATCCCTCATCTAACGTTATTGAATAGACTCCTTCATAATTACTCTTTCGTACGGTGCATTCAAAATAACAGCCTGAGCGAGCGTTGCTTCAATAATTTGCTCTGCATCAGCAAATTGTTAAACGCTTGCGTCCCCCAATGTAGGCTTCAGCTGATGTTTGCTTTTATTGGTGGGAGTCCGCAGGAGTCTACTTTCATTGCGAAATGACATGTGACACACTTAATCACTCTATCATATTTATTAAATTATAGAAATATCCTTCTCTGTCACTGTTCAAAACATAATATCGGTGCCGCAGTACAGTTAGTTTTCTCATTCGTTAATAAGGATTAAGAACTGAAATGAATAGTAAATAGATAGAAACAAATTATCGTCTTCTTAACGACAATAAAGATCATTTTACGTTGATTGTGTAGTATTGATCGCTGTATTAAAAAATGTGAAATGACAAAGTTTTCCAAGAAAATACTACCAGCTCCGAAATGTATTAAAATATATGAAATAATTTCAATTTCAATGTAACAATAGTTCAGATCACTCAATCACTTACTGAATAACAACTTAAATCATATATTGTAACATTTTCCAAGGCGGTGCAAATTCTCAATTATGATTGCCGCAAGAAAACTGGCGTTAAGTTGTAGAATAAGATCACTTACTAACATCTTGTTAAACGGAAACAAGCTCACACCTTTTCAGTTAATAGAACTAATTTCTTTATCAAAAACATATCTGCAAACGCAGACAATTCTCACAGACCTAACTAAAATTTCCATTTAAATGACGAAAATTTTATTTTCATCAACACTTTATTTTCTAGATAACGAGCGAGACATTCTCTTTTAACTGAAAACTTCTTTAACGTAATGGAGATATAGCTCGATTCTGTGCCGTACAAAAAAAAAATCATTATTTAATCACCTTTGACTGTAATGTGTTTTGACATTTTTCACTAAATCATTAATTCATAAATATGTGGTAGCACTCGACAACAAATACCGCCACTCGACACTAACTAACACCGGACGACGGTAGCGCAGTGGTAAGCGCCTTAGGTTACGAACGTTCTCGGGACCCGGGTCGAATCCCGGCGTCCGTAGTTCTATTCTTCTTCCACGCATCTAAATTAGAAAAAAATAGCAGTACCCCCAGCAGCGACATCTACAGCCAGCAGCTACAATCATCGCAGACAACACACGACACCTCAAATAATTTATATAGGTGATAGCAAAATACAAAACTTTCAATCGATTTGTGCTACATTCTTATTGTTCACAATGAGATAGCTCAAAATATAACCTATTTGCAGATGTTTGAAGCTTCACCCTTTACGACAGAGTGTTGTATCATCGAACTTTAGATATTACTAGTTTCTTTATTGAGACAAATTTCCTCGTCGCCACTGACTTTCCAATTAAATAATTATTTAATAATATTTCGTAATTAAATTATTACGAAAATCGACTTTCCGTTATAATTCCAACAGTTAGCTTATTGAAATTCAAAATATTTATGCTACTTTTGAAACTAGCAATAATAACCAGAATGTTAGTAACTTCATTTGGATTTACATTGAAATTACTAGTAATGAAAAGCTAGATTTACTCGAAAAAGAAGCGACAAACGAAATTTATACTTGCATCAGGTATCACAGTTTCACTTACAGTCTTCTAGTCCATTAACATTTTTTCAAGAACAGATTGAAAGTAGGAATGTTTTTGGATAATCTGATTCGGGACAATATTTAGAACAATATGACCGACTTTGAGACAAATTTCCTCCGCCGAGATATAAATAAAATATCGATTGTACATAAGGAATTTTCAGTCGGAAGCTGCAAATGAAGTTTTACAATAGTTTGCAGCAAGTTGCTAATAAAATTGTTTTTAAGCCGAGCCTTATTGCGTTACGATAAGCCCAATTGTTAGGTTGCAAATGGATAAAAACTGCTTGTCAATGCGCAACAGGCTATCCACATCTGAATTATGGTATCTGGAAATACCTAGACTACGAGAATAGATCTTTCTTATGTGATATTAAAGGCTAAAAAGTTATTTATAATTTTCTTGAACCATGTTCCGTACGAATCGTATTAAAATTAAATAAGTAATGAGAATTGTAAACCTTTTAATGTTCACTACCTAATTAGAAGTAGCAGTGATAGATTGATAATGAAAGATAGAAATATTACATTTGCTATATAACCCACGTCGCATTTGGAGTTACTAATAAACAAATACATACATAATGTAACGTTGATAACAAAAGAAATATTGCACTAGGAATGTTGTACTCGCGTCCATTTGTGTCCACAATAAGTCAATTCAGAAAGCTGTAAATATAGTACAACTAAAATTACATAATTTTTCTTGAGATATTACACAATATCTTCTGACATATTCTGTTACACAATATCTTCTGACATACTCTAATAGTAATATGCGTTATCTTGAATGTAATTCAATTACCTCTACAAGTGTAAACATTTCAATTTTCAAGATTGGGTGAAATCATAGATATCTTCGTGGAATGTAGCAGACAAATACCGATGAAAAATACGTTGTGGTATCCGAGTTGCACGGTAGTAGCAAACAAATATGTTTACGATGCACTGAATATACTTCTAAGTGTTTTACCTGCATTTGCCGTGGATATTTTTTTAAGGCTTCAAGGTGATAAACCAATGTGAGTATTCTATCGTTTGTCAACCACATCAAAATACTCAAAAAACGACATTTCAGAGCAATGAATATGAGCAAATTTTACAATAAATTGGTCACAGCGACAGGCTACTTCAACTCGAATGAATGGTCTTTCAAAAGAGATAACATTGCCGACATGATAAACAAGGTGAAAACCTTTGAAGATGGAAATCTTGTTAAACTGGACTTGCAGGATATGGATTGGAAGAAATATTTAGCAAATTACTTGGCGGGAATTAAGATATTTGTTCTGAAGGAAGATTCTCAATCTATAAATACAGCAGCGCAACGGTTATCGATGTACGTATAGAAATATTTGATAAAATGACTCGATATGATATTTTCTTTTATTTTAGATTCTACTGGATACGTCAGATAACTAAAGGATTCGGTATAATCATTTTATTTCTGATAATATCGGTAACAATATTGCTATGCACCGACTACTTCAATGTTATGTTTCCCGCTTGAATCAAGAACAACGTATATGGAACATTATGGAAAAGGGCCTTGGAATAGGAACATGTCGCTACATATAAAGGGTATCCGGCAGAGTTATATATTATATACTATATAGTATATATGTGATATGCTCTTCGAATAAAAACTGTGGATAAATGAAGTTATTTGTCGATATTGTGAATAATATATGTATAATACTATTGTATAATATTACAAATTATTAACATATATTAAATACACTAGATAATTCAGAACACTTTATTGCGTGTTTGCTAGCTACGACCGTGTCACGTAAAATTGATACTTCGATTTTAAGAGAAAAGAAGGCTGAGTTTTAGCACTTACAAGAATAACACTGAACCGGAGAAAGGTGTTGTACGAGAACAGCGGCTAGAACAAGAACTGCCCGAGCTGGCTGAAGTCTCGGTTTATATACGTTTTGATTTGAGGATGTTGTGGGGGCTCGGTGTAGGTTATGATGAGGAAAAGTGTCCGAAGGTCGGGGTCGATATCCTATCTCTGATATGGTCTAAGGTGCGTCACAGCCTTGGTGTAGGCTACGATGATAAGGTGATGATGTGTCCAAAGGAATCTGAAGGTCGGGGGTTGATGTCTTATCTCTGATGTAGGTTGAGATGTGATTAATGTCACAACCGCATGGTGGCAAAGAAGAACGGTTAACAACTAACTAGAACAAAAGAAGAAAGTAAGGCGATCGCACTTCCGCCGAGGACATCGATCCCGGTGGTCACGTTTATGCATTTCTATTTTTATTCGAATACTTCTATTCTAATTCGTATACTCAGCGAGATATTAAATAGCGCAGTAGAGACCGCCAAATAGGCATATACAGTGCTCTCTTGAACGACGTACGGGTAGGACACCGACTGACCGCGTAGAATGTAATCCATGTAGTTACGTAGCACCCGCCCCGTCTTCCCTTTCCACATAAGCTGAAGTACATAATCACATACACACATTTATATTTTTCCGCTACACGTGCATAATATACACTATTCTAAATTTACACTGTCGCGATCACTCATTATATTCTTCAGTATAGAACAATTTAATGTAAACTGTCATTCTGCAATCGTTGCTGTATGCATCGAGCAGCAACATTGACTTCAGACAGTTGACAAACTGTTTACGGAAGATAAGGGTTTATTTTTTCGCATACATATAGTGAAACTGTACTTTGCAGAGACACACTGGTTGTTTGATTTCTCTCCAAGTCCCACAACAGTTCGTTATGTGTTCGAACTCGGTGCCAATGCTTCAGTATACAGTATACAAGAACAATTTCTGAGGTATTACGTAGTTCACACGAATTAGTTCGCATTTGTTAATTGTTAAGATATTAACAATGCACTGGATCTCTCAACTACCATCAATATTGCGAGCGACGTCGAGTCAGAATCGATAGATCATTCAAAACCATTTTCATCTTCACATTCTCTTGTCTCGGGTGCAAAAATCTTTAGAATACATTTCAAAAATAACAAATGTTTCCATTGTATCTCCGTAGGTCGTTTGCGCTGTGATTGTTCTCACTTTGTAGACGAAGTGGATCTTATCATCAAGATAATTTAAGCTCGAAACGATGCTAGCGCCAAATGTAACAAAGATGCTTCCACACCAACATAAAACGATTCCATTGTGTGTCAGTGATTGACTTATTTGTATACGTGTCATCTAATCCAATCCAATCAATTCATAAATGTCATCAATGTTTTCGAGAAAGGGTTGCTAATTTCCTTATTGATACTGTAAATACCAACAGTGTCTAAAATCTCACAGGCATTGATTTAGGAATCATACTTACTTACAATGAAACTTCATTAAAGTCCATCATATTAGTGCAAAGTTTCAAATTGTTAATAATCTTTACTTTACTTTAATGATCTTTCCATTGCCAAGATCATCTTAGGAACCTCGTTTTTAGAAAACTAAAACACGATATTGAAATATAGAAACGATGAGGTGAATAGTCTTTTGATTGGTGATAAAGGAATTCTTCCTTCTTTCGTCGTCTTCCTTTAATTTGCCTCCTTGTACTAAAACCATATAGCCCAGCGCGTCAAGGAATCTAAAATCAAAGTAGGTCACATAAGCGAATTGATCACTGATCCAGGCGTTTACATAAGGACCAAGCATTAGTTACGCTTTTTGCGATTAACATTACCTCTACCTATGTCACTGCAACAATACCACCCATTGAATTAGAGGAATGTGAAAATAAACATCCTGTTCGACGCTCAGCGCGACGTGAGAATCCTAATCTAGCTACTAGTAACTAATGGTAGTAGGTACTACTTGGTGGGGCAGACAGCTACGCTCGTTGAGCTTCAATTGGATGGCAACGTGTCGCGAGTTCAAATCTCGCCGTCCCTGGATGCCTGAAAGGATGGGAATCACCAAGTTTCCAGAAAGTGCCACACAGTCAACAAAGTGGGGGGAGGGCTACCTCACTCAGTTGTGGGTAGTTTGTGTGGAGCACTTGTGTATTTAGAAAAAAGCCAGGTCGACAGATGGACTCCATGTGCTAGTAACTTTCCCGTTCGTGGAGGTTTTAGCAGGTAAAAATTCAGCACTACCTTTTGCCACCTGCGAGGGAGCACGAAACAGATGTGGGTTATCGCGGCGTAGGAACACCACGAAGGTGACCAGGAGATTCAGGAGAATAGCGGACAGGACGGATAGGCCAGAGAGTTTAATATTGGTCATGACATCAAGTATCAGATCATCCACGGTGAGAATCTCGCAGGGGGTGTGAGTTCCGACGTCGTAGAGTCGTTGGCCTATGTGGCCTCGTCCTCATCAACGACGTTCAGGGCAAGGAAAAGGAAGTTGACCTCCACAACACCACATGTACTTGTGGAACTGGTCCTAGAGAAGAGGACGTCCTCGACAGCAGATATAGGTGCCGAACTAATAAGGTGGGCCGAGGAGGTAATAAAGGTTGCGATGACATCGTCTAACATGAAAGAACACCAAGGCCCTGAAGGAGGCGGCAAGCTCTATTGCCGCTGGTGCGATGGAGTTGACCAGGAGGGCGCGCTCTGCCTGCGGCACTGGAGTGGCACGGCTGGCGGAGGTGCGTTTAACGGTGTTGGAGGAGGAGAACGCAGTCCTTCGGAAAGAGCTATCCAGAAGGGCTGTGTGCGTTCTTCAGAAGAATACACGATGCGATGCCTCCACTTCCGAGTCGGGTCGTTCAACGAAGGATGACGGTGGGAAGAGTGAGCGTCTCTCTGCCCTCGAGAGAAAAATAGAAAAGCTGAAGCCTTCGCTAATGAGGGCCCCAGAAAAGCGCCTACAATGTCAGCGACGTAGCTCGAAGGCATGGCCGAGGAAAGCAACCACTTCTACGTGTAACTCCTTATCCCAACCTATGCCAATTACCATCGCTCCTGAAGGAGCAGGAGGGTGGCGAATGCAAGGTCGTCGAGCCTAGGAAAGGGAAGATGAGGAAAGACGCAGAGAAAGAGGCAGGAAAAGATGCGGCAACGACTCCACCGGCTAGCGATCCTTAGTCGGGAAGCAGAAAGAAGAGCATGATGAGACCAAGTGCCACCAAGTTTGCGGGAACCACCAAAAATGAGTGCCGGTGCAAGCGAATAGGAGGGCGGTGCTCACTCACCTACCGAGATCATCTGCGGTGACTCGTTGAGCGAGGAGGCAAAGGTACCTTACGCTGAGGTGCTGGCGACGGGTACATAAAACGTCCCGCTAGCCGCAGTCGGCATTCAATGGGTTAGAATTAGAAAGGCAATGATCGGGACCATCATTCTGGAAGTCCCCGGAGATAAGGAGAGAAATAAGACGCCTGCGCTTACCGCACGGCTGGCCAATGCCCCTGGCCAATGCCCTGGACCCGGCCACGGTGAGAGCCGCGGCTAGATCAAGAACAGCGGAGCTGAGGGTGATCGGAATCGACATCTTGGTCACCAAGGAGTTTCGGAACATCTTTGCTGGGGCTTGGGATGTGGGACTTTGGAGGTTCAAGTAGGAGATACCCAGGACCTCCACAGGCGGCCTGGAGTTAGCCTGGATCAGGTGTCCAACGGCGGCAGCACAGAAACTAATGCGGGCGAGAAGGATTGCCCCTGGGCTGGTTAATTGCAAGGGTCGAGCCATCTCGAAGAGGCCTCTACAGTGTTTCAGATACTTGGAGCTGGGACCGGGGGCACCTGTGCTGCATTCAGTGTCTGCCGCCGTAGCAGGTTTAGTTTACGGTCACGTACTTCGGCGAAGTAGCCATACTGGATCCGGGCACCCGTAAGATCATGGGATTGGGAACACACCCAACCAACGCACTCGGTACCCATATCCTGCTACCTGTATTAGTTAGGCCTGTAGGGACTTTCTGGTTTCGGGACTAGGTCGAACGGGGCTTCTTTCTTAGCCCTACCGTCTCTTCAGGATGGTTCCCGAGCAGTTGGGACGCTGCTCACCTGCCGACTGCTATTCGGGGGAACCAAATATTCCTTAAATCGGCCGTCTGGTCAGCCTTTGGCTTTCAACCACCGCTTTCAACCCAAATTGGCCGAGCTGAGGGGTTGCAACTTCCACTGGGCTTCACTCGACGCTCGAGGTCCCAACTTCAAGCATTGGCGAGACTATCGGTGTGGATGTACACCCACGTCACTGCCGGTCAGAGATCTTGCTAACCGAACTCGACAGTTCCAGATGGAACTCACGTAAGCGAGGGCCCAAGACAACGGGCATTTGTCAACGTCGCTGGTCCGGTCCCGGGACTTACTCCGACGGCCCACCCTTGGCTTCGGGATCGTGGGTGCGCTACTATCAAAGGCCGCGTAGAGAGAGTGTAGTATACTCCCGGTGACCTACCCTGCGGTGTACCTAGGGGACTCACGTAGGGGGAACGCTTGTCTTGACGATCCCCCCTGGCTTCGGAAAAAATATCTTTTCGTCTATAAAGAATTAACATACTTGGGGCATCACATTTCGACAAATGAAGTTAAGCTCAACTCAATAACGATTGTGGTAATTAACACTTTAACATATTTCGCTGAGGAATGTCACAGTGTTTTAACTTAGTGCACCGTTACATGCACCAATGACCACCGTGGCGTCACAGAAGAAACCAGTTATATGACCAACGTAGCAGTCAAAGTGTTAAACAATTTCCAGTACTTAAAACCCAAAAGAATGTTAAGCTATTTCCTGGTTGAAT